ATTAACTTAATTCATTGTTAATTGTCCAGTTAGTTCTTTCATAGTTAATAGAGGGAAATGGTTAAGTTCTTTGTTATATGTTTTTGTTCGCTATTTTGGGGGTTGACCGTGCACAAAACCTGACAAAATATAATAGGTGGTTATGTGTGTTCAAGCAACTAACCAATAGAAAAGTTGCGATTATGTAATTCATGCATAGTGTATGAGCGCAAAACAAAAGATGTGCACGGTCATGGACCTTCCAACACAAATATTGGCCTCTTTGTTTGCTCCTTTGAAGTTTGCCGGGCTTCATAACCATTTCCCTCTATTAACTATGGTTCTTTAAGGCGATGACCATCTCCTTTTTTTCTTAGGGGGAGTGGACGTGTAAAAGCCAAACACGTCAGTTTGATACTCGTAATAAGAAATCTTTTGAAGTCTCAGATGTATTAACAATTATAGGTGTACATTTGAAATAAACCGCAGTCTTGAAGTACTATAAATTGGCAACAATATAATAATTAACGACATTGAACTGAAACCGATCTGATGCTAGAAAATATTCCTCTGTTAACCATGCATGGTAAATTAAAGTAGGCAGTGGTAAGTGATAATACTTGCATAGATATTTTTATATTTTTTCTCATTATCCGTTCGCCTTCTCGTTACAGATATTGACGAATGTGCTCCTCAGCCATGCCTAAATGGAGCCACATGTGTGGATCTCCTGCTTGATTACAACTGCACTTGTGTCTTGGGATTTACTGGAAGAAACTGTGGCACAAGTAAGTCGGTTGAAAACCTAACCAGTTATTTTTTACTTTGCATGAGTATCTTAATATAAAAATACGGTCCTTATCTATCGTTTGTTATTGAAAGCGCTTGACAGAAATGAGGTAGAAATAGACAGTAAGGGCCTGGCTAAACTAGGAAACATTGTTGCAGAAACATTGTTTCCTGTAATATTTCCTGGGTGGCTAACTGACTAGCGGGAAGCACGAGAAATGTTTCGATGCTCCGGTGGCTAAACTGTAGTAAAATTGTTTCCTCCGTGACTAAACTGGGAAACATTTTCGGAAGCAAAACTTGCGTCCGTGAAACAAAAATGTTTTTGACTTGATGCAAAAACATTTCCTTGCTTCCGAGACGCAAAATTGACAAATTTCTGCTGAAACAATGTTTTTTGCGTGGCTAAACTGCAAAACAATGTTTCCTAGTTTAGTCAGGCCCTACTGAATGTAGCCTGTTTCAGGCGTTCGGATAGTAGGGAGCTGTAGGGAGCGACGCGAAGAGCTGTGCGCGAGCGCCAAGAGCGGCAAGAAAAAAAGAGAGAGGCGCGAGGGGTTTCTTTTATTCAAGAAATTGCATAGCTTATCTAAACGGTCCTTTTTTCAGATATCGACGATTGTAAAATTGGGATATGTGAAAACAATGGAACATGTCAAGATCTGGTCAACGACTTCAAATGCACATGCGTTTCTGGTTACACTGGAAAGATTTGTGGCGACGGTAAGTTCTGTGCTAAGGTTCCGTTCACATTGTACCGGTACTGGTTGGATCCGTGCAAGTTTTGCACAATCACTGAAAAACAGCGGTCAGGTGTTTTTACCATTTTACTCATGCGCAGTTCATGCCAATCTGACGGCTTGTAACAGGCTACAAAGCTGTATTGATTTATGACTTGAATAACTGATTATGGGTAGGCATATTAGAGAGAAGGATCGATTGGTCATTGACTCATTGACTATTGGGTACATTGGAACCCTGCCTCACTACTATTACGGCCACTTTTTGGCGGAAAAAAGTTCAGTCTTTCAAACAAACTCTATGATCCAGCTGTCAGATTGTGGTGGCTGTTGATAATCACAATATATAGCGGTTCTGCTGTTGTTAAAACAGGTGTTCAATTGTTTTTACATTTCAGATATGGACGAATGTAGTGCACGCCTTGCAAAAATGGTGGTCAATGCACTAACTTAATAAACGATTACAGTTGTAAATGTACAGGAAGCTTTGAAGGGAAAAACTGTTCTAGCGGTAAGTGTTGACTGAAAAATGGTTTAATAATTAGTGGAAAGGCGTACTTCCAAAGATTTAGTATTGTCAGGTTGGCAATCACGCCAGCGATTTGTTGGCAACTGGTCAAATTCGTTAATAGATATTATCAAAACCCCAGCCACGGTTATTGCATTTCTGGCTTTCTAATTAGTTCACACACTCCGGTTATCAGCGATTAAACCCCCTTTATACCATATGTGATAACTGCATGGCTACGTGCGGTGTGTTGACCGAAGAAAGTTATTGAAGTATTTAATAAAACAATTATTCCACAATTCTCGTTTGTTGGATATGAGATGATTACAACCAACTCAGCACTACGCGTGTTGCTTTTTTATCACCTCGTATTCTACGTGCGCTAATGGAATAATTGTTAAATATGTTGGATCAATATCAGCAGCTGAGCACAGGTCTTTATTTAAAACTAGTTACTCACGGCTAACAAATATCAAAAATGTTCTTATGTAATTCACCTCATAGAAATACCCCTATGTATAAACTCGATGTTAAAACTCCCGCACGTATCACCATCCTATATAAACCTTATTTAAAATTACTCAGTTTTGGCAGTTTTTGCGATATCGCTTAAACATCCAAAGTAACTTGAGTGTATTATGTGAAATTTCAAGTAAAGAAAACGAATCGTCAAAATAATAGAAATCGTATATGAAATATGATTTAAAAAAAATACAGTACAAAAAATGGACTAAACTTGATAGTCCAGGGCCCGGTTGTTCAAAGGACGATTAAGCTAATCCAGGATTAGTATGAATATTGATTTCAGTTTTGTTACTTTTCAGTGAGGTTTTCTGTTTACATTTTTCGGCCTTCAGGTTTGACTTTGAGTAATCTCCAACTCTACAAAACATTAGCAGTGAAAAACACTTTTATATAAAATAATTAAAACCTCGATTGACTTTTAATCCAGGATTATTGTTAATCGGCTTTCGAACAACCGGGCCCTGGGTTTTCATCATCTAGTAAATTAGTTCATATTTAAATGATGTGTTTTGTTTTTCCTTTTCTCTTTTCTTTCTTATTAAGTTTCGGCGTCAACTGAAGACGAAGGCGATGGTATGTTTATTTATTTTTACCATTTAGTTAAATTATTATTTTTTGCCAACCATCTCCAGCAACGATTGATCGTTGAAAATATGATCGCCCTGCAGGTATTACTATATTTCTCATAAAACGTTTTATTTTATTTTTACAGAAGTGATACGCATCCTATTCTGGCTTGTGTTGGAGCCTGTGCTGTTTCCTTGCTAGCTTTGATAATAGCTGCTCCATATTTCTGTCATAAGTAAGTGCCCATGAACAACTGACGCACATTTCTTCAATGAAACATTGAAATTCAGTAGTCAACATGTACCTATATATAACAGGATCGTACAGCGAGTGTGGTACAAAAGATTATAACAAAATAGCCCCCCCCCCCCCCCCCCCTTCCCCAATAATGTCACACGAGGTAAGGGCACGCGCTAAGGGTGTTCAAGTATTTTTCAAGTGGTATATATGGTAATTGTCCTGTTGGATCAGAGGTCAATTTTTTTATCTAAGACTTTTAACATTTTTTAATCATTTTTATAGGCTGAAACAAACAGCTACAATAAAGCGGAGAAGCAGCAGGAATGGATGGCAATATACTGGAGACTTTTAATCTGAGAAAGGATCAAATCTTTACCTTGATACCTAATGTTAACATTCCAATAATTTAGCGAGTTTATTAATGAAAAACTATATCATAAGCTCCAAAACGAGTTACCATTAAGGTGGGTTTTGCGAAACCGCCATTTCTATAATTAATTAAATATCGTATTTACATGTCGTAGTCTACAATCAACTTGAAGTTTATAAGGTAAATTAATTAACTACCACTGTAGATATTTTCACTTTACCGCCGATGCAAACCTACTGGTACATTAGAGATACATCCATTGAGTAAAACTCAGAGACTCAAAGGAGTAGTACAGAATGTAATAAATGTAGCTGTCAGCCCCCCCCTCCTTTCCCTCTCTACTTCATTCCATCTCAACCGAAGGTGGTGGGCGAGAGTACAAACCCCCATTGCTACAAAAATATGGGTCTGACCAAGTCGTTACATACTTCTTCCCTATATTTGCTACCAGACAAAGAAACAGTTAGATAAGAATGCGTGACAGCTGACACGAACGTGTGCGTTACACGGGACAACGTCGAGAAAAAATATTTTATTTCAAATTTAAAATGTTCACCCTTTTAGTTCTGGTTTACCAAGAAATATTCAGTGTAACAGTTTTAGGGACTATTCCAGCAGTGAAGGTAGTGAAAACCAAATTTAAAATAAATGGCTGCTTCTAGTTGTATATTCACTATGTTGGGGAGGCGCAGTGACCAAATGGTTAGTGGGTTGGACTCCAGGTCGAGTGCTTTGGGTTCGAGTCTTGGCCGGAGTATTCGTATTTTATAGTTCTTGGGCACCCAGGAATATGATTTGGTAGCGGAACTATCAATATTTTATGATTGTAATATTGTAATTCGGGTTCTTTACTTGTTACCATAGTTGCATACTCTCCTGTCTGTCTTACTAGTATTAAGTTTTATCGCTATTCTTAGTAATTAATAGGGAGAAGTTTTCCTTCCATGTAGACAGCTGGTGGTGTGTTGTTCAATTGACGTAACAGTCCTGATTTGACCCTGTTTTGAAATATAATTTTTAAATTAGACATGGCTTTCCTTTGTTGTTTTATTAAAAACAGTAACTTCCCGCAAGCGGATACTTTGAAATGTTCTAATAGGGTCCCCTATCATAACTTCACTACTTTTCTCTTTGTTTTGCTTTGCTTTTACTTTCGAATTCGTTTCTTTTTCTTTTTCTTCAAACTAAACTCTAATAAATGTTTAACGTGATACCTTGTTACCGCCATGTCACCTGTCGAGTAGACTTAAGATAAAAATATTAACAAGTTTCCGCCAGCTAAGGGGGCATAGCTCAGTGGTAGAGCATTCGACTGCAGATCGAGAGGTCACCGGTTCGATCCCGGTTGCCCCCTTAGTTTCACTTTTCGCTTTTGTTATCGAGAATTATCGTACAGATACCGATACAGATATTGTCGCCATCATTTTATTTTACTTTTCTTTTCATTTTTCGTTTTCTTACAAGTAATCAAATTCCTGGCGTCATTTAAGAGTTTTTCTGTACATCATATAAAGTATAAACAATATTTTTTTAATATCATTTGGAGCTGCAGTAGACTACTGATTGGGCTCCAGGAGCTAATTCTTCATTCCGGCGGCCTACTGATCACTAATGAACAAATAAAAGAAACCGACCACGGCAACTAAAAATCGACTGCATAAGGTTTACATTGTGCCCTGCTTCCGGCGTTAAAGCTGTCAAAAACGCTTTTCGGTGTTTCAGCTGATATAGTCATCCTTCAAAGACAATGCTTTATAAACCGCAAATTTGTTGAAAAACAAGTAAAATTAATTCAGTGTTGACGAAAAAACTGGCTACAAATCTCTGCTATTTTGGGTTTCAAATTACCCGCGCGCCACCAATATATTGCTTTCGAGTTTTACTTGTTTCTTTTTTTCATTTAACATAATTTTAAATGGTAAGTAAACAGTCAAACGAATAGGATACAGATGAAAGAATATTTTGAAAAGGTAAAAAAGGCTAAAATTGTGTCAAACTTAAAATACTCCAAACAAGAATTTAATTCAAGGAGAAGAGCAAGTGAATTGTTTACTATTAGTCGAAACGGAAAGTAAATATTTACTGACAACGCGAAACGCACCAGGGCAGGCAATATTAAATTTCATTATGGGGGAATTAATACGGCTTTTTAAACTGCTATATGAATCACGGAAACTACAGACATTACAGTGACTCGCGAATTTCGCATTTACCTTTGCTTTAATTCAAGGCGTAAGATGAAATCCACTAAACGCCGGTATCAAACTTGTCCCAAGTGCGAACTGAGCATAATTTGCTTTTGAAACGGCAGGAAAGACAATTCTAAACTGCAAAGTGTTCACACAATATTTATACAAATGATAACAGAAACAGCTATCAGGACTTGTACAGTGTATATTATGCTGAAAACAACGAAATGATCATCAAGCACTGCATGTAAAACTCCCCGGCAAAACCAAGGCCTAACCATGAATAACACTGACCACGATGGAAACGCGTCTGTTTGCAGGGCCCGCGCAGCAATTTTTGAGTGGGGCTAATGCGAACACGTAAGCGTGAGGCATCTAGGGGGATCCGGGGACATGCACCCCCGGGAAAATTGTGAATTTAAGTCCTCTGAAATGGCTGGAAATGCATCTAAAATTGATAAGCGTGGTGCAAATTACCAACTTTCAGCACTTAAAAAGCGACTGTTTTTAATACAAGAAGCAACATTTATTATCCGGTCTTTGAGAGTTGTCCATGTTTCGAAAAAGCAATCAGAGATTTTTGTAGATATTTAATTTTCTTTCCAACAGCCAGAAGCCTTCGTTAATTATGCTCATTTTACCATGTGTGCTTCTCTGTTGGTTATCACGCAGGACTCCCGTGTCCTGCGATGTCAAGAGTTGTGTATAATTCTCAGTTTAAAGTATCTATGGCGATAAAATGTTGCCATAAAAACGTTTCTCTATAAAACGCAAGATATAACTACTGCTAAAAAAAACGTTATTAAACTAGTGAAATTACTTTTGGAAATTTTTATTATTATTAATTTTTTTTAGAAAAGCCCCTCCCCCTGCGCGGTCCCTGGTTTGTGACTTAGACCAGGGCGCAGGAAAGCATGGGCGGTGAAACGCGCACTGCGCTCTTGTGCGATGTTTGATGCGGAGCGAAACTGGGTCGAGCGCGCTCGAAAAGGGATTGTCAAAAGAGAACGGTACGGGATTTCCACTTAGTTTTTGTACAATGAACATGTCAATATGTTGGAAAAGCTGTAAGAAATAAAGAACGGGTTCAATATGTAAAATCAACAACAATTTCATTGTTTCATTTCAGTGTCAATTTAATTTTGAGCTTTTTTGAACTTTTTTAGTTACACGCTAAAGACGTCAGTCATTGCACAGTTTTCTCTCCATAATACGGTGAATTTGGTCATTTGACGTTGCTCTGCACTTGCGCGTCTTAGCCGTCCTCTGCAAAACAACAACGTCGAATGACCAAATTCACCGTATTTATATGGAGAGAACAACTGTGTACTGATGTCTATAGCATCTTCGCGCCCACCCACCACCAAATAAAGGTTTTACTGTCGGTTTTACTTACTTACTTACTTACTTACTTACCCGCCATTTTGAAAGCGGAGATGGCCCTGGGGACGAGGTTGAGCTAGAACGAGACACTATATTTATCATACATGGCGTATTTACTTATCGGAGCTTAGTCAGCTGACTCAAAATCAATATGGCCGCCGATGGCCGGAGATGGGAGATGGCCAACGGCTTTCTTATGGGCAGAGAAGCTAGACATAGATGAAAGGAAATACGTGTTCTCCTCTAAAACGTTCGCACCGCTGATATTTTCAGGTGAGTGTCTTGGATTTCCAGTAAAATTATGAAGGTTTTTAAGTGTTTTTCGAACATGGCTTTGTCGATCACCTCAAAATTCAGCTTAAAGCACAGGTAGCCCCCACAGGTCGCCCAAGCTTAAATAAGAGAACAGTGTCACGGTATAAGCGGTATTGTGTTACAACGGCTCGATTTTAATATAAGGGTTTGTATGGGAACGCAACGGTTATGTTTTAGAAGATATAAAATCGAATGTTTTCTGAATAAAAACGACTTACCCTGTTGCTGTGTTGTATTCTTTGTAGTTTGCCAGCTTCTCAGGCCGGTTTGAGGCGATTTAGGTGAGTTTTAGTTTTCGAGGTTTTCCGTTAATATATAAAATAGGGAAGGTCGGAAAGAAGATTTCAAATCCAATCACTCGAAGATCGATAAATTCCGTTAAAATGCTCAAATCGCCTCAAAACTTCCACCAGTGTAATGCACCTATCAATGTAAGGGGGGAGTGCGGGACAGGGGTGGGGATTTGACAGAAAAGTAAAAATTCCAGTCCATTTTCTCGAGGGTGGGAAAAATATTTTGTTCAAATGTATCTAAGAAGACCCACCCAGGGGCAGAATTCTAAAACAAACGAACAAGTACTTTCTACATACCTTTATTTTCTGTCAATCCAACCTTCAACTGATAAAGAAATTCCTCATAGTCTTTATATAAATAACTTATTAAAATCTTGATTTAAAGTATTAAAACGTGCTGGTAAACTGACAATGTTATTTTTAATTCTTCCTTGCTGCTTTTCAAACAAAGCCACTATATAATATCCTGATGTATTTAATTTACATCTTTAACAAAACAATGTCAATAAAGGCTGGTTTCCACTAGCGACATCAGCATATTAAAGCACCAGTAACATACATGTTGCATACATGTATGTTGCTTGTGTTTATACTTATGTTGCTAGTGAAAACCAGCCTTAAAGCACCAGTGCTATTAAAAAATAACATTTATAGATTTAAACATGAATGGCTTCACCTTTGAAACTTAAATTCAAGGCATCTGTTCCTCTGGTAAATAGTGCAGTGATGACAAATTATGTTTACTTATAAACTCAAAAACCAACACAAAACAATATAACCAAAAACACAACTTATATCTACAGCACACTGTACATTTAACATGTGAGCTACTAGGTCATTCTATTAAAAAATTCATGGGCTAAAATCCAATGTAACATCAAAAACAATCAGTTTTAGCAGCCAAAAAAAGGGTTAAGGTCAAGAATGACCAAGCTCCTTTAACAAGCTGTTTGCTTTAATGTTCCTATAGATGAAAATGAAATGGCCAGGATATTATTATAAAAAAAATGCTTGTAGAATGTCCCTTTCCATTACATAAAGCACACTAGACATGGATTTTGTGGGGAGACTACTGCATCAAATAAATTATCCTTGGTTTTTATAATATAAAAAAATACTCCAGGACTGTATATAAAAAACAATATAACCAAAAAATTATACAACTTAATACATCTACATTTAATAAAGGAGCTAGGTCATACTATTCACTTCAATATGGGTTAAAATTGAATTTGAAACTTCAAAATAGCGGTAAAAAAGGTTCAGAATGACCTAGCTCCTTATTAAATACAATGTTTACGTTACTGTTCTCAGGGTTTTTGTTAGAGCCGGGACGGCGGGACCTTTACTCGGCTATTTCAATATTTGTCCCGGCTATTTCACACAAAGCTGTGCTACGATTTTTCAATAAAGAACGGTCACAGTTGAAGGAGTATTTGTACTTCATTTCCTGCCTATTAAAACCGAATGATAATTTATTTCGGTGCTGTTGAGGCAATTGAGCATTTATTTGCCCGTAACACGTTTTGTGGACGTGTTGCTGATTTGGAGTTCGTGACTGTGCCAAATTTAGCGTTATATAAACAGTCATCGGCGCGCCCGAACTCGTCATTAAAGTATCAAATAACTATTGTTCGCCAGTAAATATGTACGTTTTAAAATAAACAGTGTTGCAAATTCCAGGAAAATTCCCGAAACTTCCCCATTTTAATTGGCGTATTTCCGTCCATGCCCTTTTCCCGGTATTGCGACAGACAACTGCAATAAATACAGTTTGTTCGGTCGCTGCAGTTCAGTCAATCTCTCGAAAGAAAATATCAAATTGGAACACGCTACATTGTCTACAATCATCTTCGTGACAACGCTACGCAATATACAATCTTCATTGGTGGTCTTTAGACAGTAACAAATGAAGTGGAAAATCGACCAGTACTTTACCTCGAGGTAAGCCCCGACTTGGCACTGCGTGCCAAGGAAGGCGGCTACACCGCCATTTGGGGTCCCTGCTATTAACAATTTGGTCTCTGCTATTCAAAACCTTACCAAAAACCCTGGTTCTGGGAATGAGTAAATTAACATGATGGCTTGGATGAGTAAACATACTTGTAGAATGTTCATTGTCCTTTTCACAAATCATAGTTCATCAAAGTTCTGCTTGGCTCATATTAAAAACC